TATCGATATCATTTTTGTGTACGGGTTCTGTAAACGAAATGCTTATCAACGTAGATTTCCTAACAGACGCCAACCTACCCCAAAGGCTTTTACGCGTTCATTTATAAGACTTCGGCAATACGGAATTTCCAAACTTCCCGGAGTTAGCGGCTATCGAGTCCGGCATACGGTTACCATGTTCTCAAAGGCTTGCGTGGATAATTTTAAATCGGGAAGTCTTACATCCTTACCATCGACAAAATGTGCAATGACGAAGTGCAAAGGCGAAATTTTTGTGAGTGGGGTTAAAGCATAATCAAAATGCAGATTTTACTGATTCGATTTTGTGGTCAGACGAATTGCTGTTTACGAGGAGTGGAACCTTCAATTCTGAAAATGAACATACGAGACGTTGACATAGAATCCGAACACCCAGTTTAAATGGTTTTATTTTAATAAAATTTTGTATAAGTACTTAATGATAAAAATTTCAAAATGATTGCACTGCTTTAAAGCCCTTTGACCTTTAATAATGTGTGGATGCACCTTGATGTGCTACACATTCTCCAACGCGCCTAGGCATGCTTCTGATCAGGTGGTCAATGTCCTCCTGTGGTATCTCATTCCAGGCAACCACCAACTCCTCTCGAAGTACTTCTAGAGTCTGAGGAGTACGTTGCAAATTGAGCAATCTCCTACCCATCATATCCCACCACGTGCTCAATTGGGGATAAGTCGGGAGATCTTGGTGGCCATGGTAACAATGTGACATCATTATGTTGAAAGAAGTCTATTGTGACTCTTGCAACATGTGGTCGGGCATTATCTTGTTGGAAAGCTGGATCTGCCAGGGTGTCAAGATATGGTAAAAGATGGGGTTCTAGAACTTCGTGGATATAACGCTGCGCGTTCATGTTACCTCTGATGAAGATTAAAGGTGACCTGGAACCATAAGCTATAGCACCCCAAACCATAACTCCAAAAGTGTGATGAACATGTCTTTCAACAAAAAACTGTGGATTCCTCCTTTCACCACGTCGCCTTCTAACCCTGGCACGACCATCGTGCATGCCTAAACAAAATCGAGACTCGTCACTAAAGACAATACTGTTTCATTCCTGATCCCAGAGTGACCATTGTCTGCACCACTCAAGGCGATTACGTCGGTGTTCTCGAGTTAAAGGGAGGACCCAATGTGGCCGGTATGAAAACAAGCCAAAACTTCTCATTCGTTGGTAAACACTTCGCATGCCAATAGGTCTTCCGTGTTCTGCAAACCATTCATTTGCAATGGACCTGGTAGTGGAGAAACGGTCCCTTAAGGCCAATAATCTTAGGCGGCGATCTTCACGGTCTGTTGTTCTACGGCGGCGTCCAGTGCCCCTTGCTCTTTGCGTACGGCCTTCTCGAAGCCATGCCTGACAACACCTAACCACAGTGTCTACACTTCTTTGCACTCTAACTGCAATTGCCCGAAAAGAAAGTCCAGCTTCAGAAGTCCCGCTATACGGCCTGTATCAAACTCACTAAGTTGACGAAATCGTACAGGTCTCCATACTCTAGGCATCGTAACCGATCGTAAAGGATGTCAAGAACCAAAATCCGCCAACGTTGATTCTTTACTGCGGCTGAAATATTCATTTTTAGAGCGTTAATGAATTAAAAAAAAACAGTATAAAAACCGGAATGTCCAACTGATAAGGCTGAAAATTTTTTCACTTGTTATTTACAGTAAGATAAATACATTCAAAAACTTTTATTAAAATAAAACCATTTAAACTGGGTGTTCGGATTTATATGTCACTTAGTATATTTTCTTAAAAAACCTCCCATCCAATGCTAAACACATGCTAAGAGATATATGCAACTTAATTCTTAGATCCAAACAACTTCCGAGCATATGGAGTGAAGCGATTATAATTCCACATCTGAAACCAAACAAGCCCCAAGATGTACCCAATTCTTACCGGCCCATATCCCTTACATGTACTATGTGTAAGCTGCTTGAGAAAATCCCCAACAAACGGTTAGTATGGTTTCTTGAAAAACAAATGTTATTGAGCAGTAATCCGAATGGTTTTCATAGCAGCAGATCTACCATTGACAACATTGTTGTTTTTGAACCGGCCATAAAAGCAGCCTTTGCTAATAACCAAAAAGTAGTTACTCAATGAAAATTGGATTGTAGTATATAATGAACCCAATATTGAAAATGCATTTGTCCTTTTTATCTAGCATTGAAGGCCATATTGCTGCAACTTTTATTAAAATAAAACCATATAAACTGGGTGTTCGGATTTATATGTCACTTAGTATACATTGATCGTCCGCTTGCATAACAATTAAATACAAAGGTTTATAATAACAGTATCTTCTAAAAGGTATCGCAATTGTGTTAATGGTTATTTATGAAGCATCGTGACATTAACATTTTCGTTTTTCAGATCGTTTTTCGGTATCGCGAAAGCAATTCTTTGTATGAGGGATGTCTTTTAAGTTTTGCATATGGAAATAAAACAACACGGTAGGCAGTTTTAAATGACTTTATTGTTTTTCGAAGTATTCTCCACGAAGATTAATACACATCTGCATGCGCTCGAACCAATTTTCGAAGCACTTATTCCGCTCGTTTGCTGACAGATCCAAAAGTACGATCCAAGAGCTATTGTAATCAGTCATCAAACACGGATGACGCACAGTTTTAAACTCTTAAAAAGCCCAACAGTGCATTAGTGGACGTCTTTTATTGCTACTGTGTTAAGACGAAACTGCACTACATTGAAAATTAGAGCCGTTTCGAAGGTGTGAGTAGTGTAAGCTCAATCTACTTGACGTCATTTTTCGTAACGTAATACGCCTACACAAGTTCAAAATCCACCATTAAAAGTGATCTTCCTTTACCTCGAATTGTCTGATAACTGGTAAGAACTTCGTCAGAAACGTATTCTTTCACAAAATGAGGTAGGTACTAATGTTTCGCGTTTAAATCCTCATATCCCCTGCACAATTTCCCAAATCGAAATGTCTTGTATCGATGCAGAAAACCCTTTTGGTGGGGGATGACAAGCGGCTTTTATGGTGTTAAAGGAAAGTTTAATTGGGAAAGTGAGGAATTGCCCATTGATTGAATGATCTAATGAAGATTCCGCCAATTCATTCCGTTAATATCGATTGGTAGTGCATTTTAGCTAACCTAGTGATGGTGTAGTGGAATGAATGAACTTATTCGACAGGGCCAAGCTATCGAATACAGCTTTTCCGCTATTTGATAGGTTATGCCTTTATTATTAATCATTTTTCAAATGAGAAAAATCTATATTCTGCTAAAAGTACCATGTTTCCAATTGTACGGTAAAGACTTAAAAATATACGTAGAAAGCAGGAACATATGCTTCTTCTAAGGGCACATGAAAGTCCTTTCGACTAGCCTGAGAGTAGATTCCGAGAACTATTCAGTCCTAGTAAATTCTGGGGAGGAATGTATTATTTAGGTAAGACCACTTATCACAGAAAGATAAAATGTGAGTGGAATCAAGATAGAACCCGATTCTATGCAACAGGTTCGAATTAAAGTTGTATTGGTATCTCACAGAGTAGGTATACTTATCTCATAATACACATAATAGATGTCCACGTTGTCCCAGAAAAATATTCTTCCCACAAACTGCCATACGCCTTACCCGGATTTTTTCAATGTTTCCCATCATTTAGGTGTTGGTCTAGACATTTTTAGTCAGTACTTTGATAAATCCTTGAGTAAATAATAATCAAACCGAAACGAATTTCAAGTCTAACCTATTTTCGTCTTTTTCGCTGAAAAAATGTCAGTGTCAGGCGTATGCCTATCAGAAACTGTCAAAAACCAGTCGTATTTTCCGATTCTCTGTTCGATCGATTATCGTGAATAAATCAATCGACTCTAATCTCGATTCTTCGATTTAGTCGAGTGGAGCAACGTGATCTCTGTACGTATCAGCTCCAATAATATGGAATTATCATACTAGACGTCCGGGTTAAAATTAAGTCACTTTACCTATTGTGCATCGCTCATCAATCCTTTTCAAGGTAATTGTATCATAAGGGCTACTGTAATAATGATAAGTCATCGTTCTTGCGACGGACGCCATATTGGACTTAGAACGACGTCGCTTTGCTTATTGTGCTTCGCTCATCAGACATTTTGTGTTGGCAGCCGTATTGGAATGGCGACACATTGTTTACTGTGTTTTTCTCATCAAGCCTTTTCATTTGATACCCCTATTATACGGGTGACCATGAAAATTATAAATCGCCATTTTGCTGCGTCCGCCATATTGGATTAAGAATGACGTGACTTTGCTTACTGAGTTCCTTAAATCAAGCCCTTTTATTTGATACCCATATCGTAGGGGTTACTGTGTCAATGATAAATCGCCATTTTGTAGCAGCAGCCATATTGGATTGAGAATGACGTCACTTTGTTTATTGTATCTCTCTCATAAAGCCTTTCATTTGATACTCATACTATAGAGGTGACTATCAAAATTATAAATCGCCATTTTGCTGCGTCCGCCATATTGGTTTTAAAATGACTACATGTCACTTTGTACCACGCGCCATATAGGATTCAAAAAACCGGCAGTTCGTCACGCATGTATATAAAATTTCAGACAAATTGGTTAAGGTTAACTGGTTCAAGAATTCTGTTTTAAAATGTGCCTCACGCATACTAAACCTACACACTAACAGGTCAAGTCAAATAAAAGCTTGTAAAAACAGATTCTATTTGTTACCGAAATTGTGTCTAGTCACTGCCAGCTGAAGAAACATTCCTTTAATATGAGAATATTTGTATGAAAGAAATGTGAGCAAGATGAAAAACTAGGCACTTGCTTTATGTCTGCCGATTCAATACACTAATTGCGGATATGTTTCCTGCAGTATTATCTATGAAAACATCTATGTTATCAATTCGGTCAATATATAAACAACCTATAACAAATACTGATAAATATCACAATATTTACTCTTTTTCGAAATTGAGATAACACCAGGAAATGTAAATGTCTTTTGATTAAGCAACCCATGTCTTATAAATGTTCACAAGCTACAAAGATCGCCACAATCACCTCATCTGTCATAGCAATGAGGTCATTTACCATAGCATTCGTGGGTCTCTTGGCCCTGGCATATTTGCAAGTAAGTACGACGCAGTTCCACTATTTCTAATAACAATAGTTTATAATTCGAGAATGCTAAAATTGTCATTAAATTGTCTTGAAGTCAACGTGCTTATATTGCTAAATTCTTAAGCAGCAGAGTATAAAACTAAGCAATAATATGTCAAGCTCCCTTTCATTGCCTCAAGAGCATATTATCCCAAATAGATTTTATCTTAATGACTCTTCAGGATGTGAAATAAAAGCAAGATCTATGTTTTTTTCAGGCAGCAGAATCTAGAACAACATGTAGTCCACCAAAACGTAGCTCTAGCGCCGAAGCTAGTGCCAAAGCGTCAGCCAAGTCCAGTGAATCAAGTGGACATAGCTCTGCTCAATCTCAATCTGCTAGCTCAGCTTCGGCATCTGGCGCACCTGGAAAATCGCCCACCTGTTCTGAGTCATCCGCTCTTGCTGGTGCCCGGTCTCCTTCTAGAGGCCACTCAGAACAGTCATCGTCTTCTGCCTTAGCTGGAGCTCAATCTTCTTCTGGAGGTAGCTCCGGGAAATCTTCAACTTCTGCCCTTGCTGGTGCCCAGTCTTCTGCTGGAGGTGGCTCTGGTCAGGCGTCTTCATCAGCCTTAACTGGAGCTCAGGCTTCTTCTGGAAAGAGTTCAGGTCAATCTTCATCAGCGACCTTAGCGGAGACTGATTCTTCTTCTGCTGTAGCTGGAGCACATGCTTCGTCTGGAAATATTTCTGGAAGCAAATCAAGCTGTGGATGCTCAGGAGTTCCTGGATTACCGGGACCTCCTGGACCGCCTGGGCCTCCTGGACCTCCCGGTCCTCCCGGATGTGCAGGTTAGTAGTTATAGTTGAAGATTGTAGTAAAGGAAGTCGTCAATTGGTACCACCTGGGCCTCCTGGATTTTCAAGGCTCCGTGTAAGGACCTTTGTAATTCATTATATACATCGCTGATATATTAAAATCTGTACAGTACTCACACATTTAATCTCATGCTGGTATGGAATGATTTAATCAATACAGACTTACTAACAGTATACGAACCTTGTGCCGATCACAAACGAGAAAACATAAGCGGTGCTCTGACCCTCCTCTTGAATGAACAACAACTTCATTTCTCAACTAGCTGTAAGATTACATGGTTTGATCACGGAAGACGAGTTACGTTACCAGCGATACATTAAAAGGGTGTTATTTGAAACTGCCAGTAACGTAGGCAATAAAGTGCATAATTAACTTCAAGACGAGGAAAAAGTGGGCTGAAATTATTAGTTATGGTTTGAAAGGTTTTTATCCATGCCTGGACTATTTAACTCAAATGCGCTTACAAAACAACTGTTGCCATTTTGTTTGTGTAAATCTGACCACATATCTAATAGTTTCAGACTTTTCAATGGCTTAATATCAATTTTTTGTTCCAATATATTTAATCAACAACATTGAATCGTGTAGTATATTCTAAGAGCCCTGTATATTTACTATGCCTGTGCATGGAACATCACTCTTTTATTGCTCTTTCAAGTATAGGAATATTGATATATCATCAAACTGCATCTCAGACTACATCTCCTAAAAATGCAGCATAGGTTCAATGACTAAATGCCTTTCGGTACTCAACCCTGTGATCCATTACCATTCTTTCTTTTCAAGTTTTAAGATTCATAGACAGACAATCGTTTACTATATGTAAAGTATCATATTTGTATGTCAAATTAGTATTAAGCTTTTGTTTTATTACGGTGGAGTGTAAGAATAGCCTTGCTGAAGCCATTTATTATTCTTATTTTTTGCTAATGATATTCATAAACCTTACAGGTCCAGCAGGTGCACCAGGCGAGAATGGTAAGCCAGGCTGTCAAGGACCTCCCGGACCTCCTGGATTGAACGGTTTGCCAGGATTAGAGGGACCAGTGGGACCAGAAGGTCTAATGGGACCACAAGGACCATCTGGTCAAGACGGTCCACGAGGACCTGCAGGGCTGAAAGGACCTCGAGGAATCCAGGGACCACAGGGTAGTCAGGGACCAAGAAGGTCTGATGGAGTTCCAGGTAGGCAGCAACACCTCGGTTGTCCCAGAATATGTATTTTGCCTCTAGAGCACGGGAAACAAAAAAATATTAGGCGACTTTAAAATACGAGGTCTGTAAATTAAGTGTTGGAACTGATTTTTACGAACAACCAGTACTCCTGACAAAACACTATCTCTGTAGCCCTGTTTCGCAAGAGTTTCCATTGCACCGTGCGAAAGTCTGAAGCAAGATCTGATAGCACACCGATGCTTGTAATAGTTTCACAATAAAAAATGCTTCGGACAACCAAATGATTCGAGTAAGTGCAAACTTGTACTGAAGGCAAATCACATGTTCCCCTGTCTCGTCTCCGAGTCTGGCGCCTCCAGTGTTGCCAGATCGAGCGCTACGTTGCCAGTCTCCTCACTTCATTTACAGACCTCGTATATAAAATGCAATGCTGGCCTACTAACCATTCCTTACATTGTGTTCAAAAGCAATTTCAAGCAAACACAAAATCGGTAAAAAACTGTGTTAAACTTAAGGAAGATTATATTGGTGAATTAACGTATTTTCAGCCATCAACTACTTTTTCTTCATGCTGAGTTTCGAAACGTTCCAAATGACTTGGTGATGCTCCTATTTTTTTTCTCAAGGATGTATAGAATCTAGAAAGATCTTACAGCTGATTATACAATAACGATCTTTATCTTTCAGGATCGTGTAGCACCGGTTCAAGATCGTCCGCATCTTCAGGTGCTAAAACTTCCAGCTCTTCTATAGCTGGAACTGGTGAAAAGTCAGTCGCAGGTGCCAAGTCTGAAGCAAAAAGCGTATCAAACAACAGTGACGCTGCATCTGTAGCTGGATCAATCAGCGCAGGTGGAACCAGTGGTGGACACTCAGCTTCGAAGGCTGAAGCTAAGTCTAAGGCTGCAAGCAAATTTGGCGTATCAGCAAACAGTGGCGCAGCGTCTAAAGCTGGAGCAATTAGCGCAGGTCGAAGCAGTGATGGACACTCAGCTTCGAAAGCTGGAGCTAATTCGCAAATCTGGAAGCGCCGGAAGCAAATCTGAAGCTAAAGCCAAAACTGGGGCAGCTAGTCTCGTACAAGCTTAAGGGCTTCTGTACTTAGAATGCTATCAGTACAAGGTTTCGCAATCGTCATTCATGTTCATGTCAGAAATAAGAGCATAATGAATAACAATAAATAATAATGTGTACAGCAAAATGTCTTTCATTTGTGCCTTCAAACTCAAGGTATATTTGAGAGCCTGAAGATAAATTCTTTCTTGACTAATTCCTGGTAAATTCAAAATGCCAGAAAAACATCAAAGGAATTGGGGAAATATTTGTCGGCGGATTTTTGCTGCTAGGCTTGTAGTCGGCAAACCTTGGATGCGCCTTGCACTTTTCTAAAATTCTTTTGGCATATGATTTAATCACTGTGGAATTGAGCTCTATACTATCTCAACGGGGCGACCAACTTAGGTTATCCAAGATAATGAACTTTAAGATTAGGTTTCACCCACAACACTAAGGAACTTTGGACCATTTCACTTGAATAGCATAAAAGATTTTATAAAAATATCGTGGTTTTAAATTTCTGCAGTGACCGCAAACAAACCGTTAAAACCCATTTTTAAGACTAGCTCATTCCTTCCCAACTAACAAATATCACTCCTATTAGTTGCAAGAATGATTATACAGTATTCCTTACACAGCATTGTATACTGTAAGAACATTGGCAAAACCCTCGTAGAACAGCTATACAAGCGGAATGGGCACCCCTAATAGGACACATCAGTCATTTAGGAGGTTGTATAAGGGTGCAGGTAACAGTTATACAACAAAAGTGTAAGCTTCCTGCAGCCGCTATATGACATCCATCAGTGCAAGATTCAGTTTTTGTCAACTATACAACTATTCTGTTACGTGATTCTACTTTATTGCAAGCAAACTATTTCTTATGTATTTTATAGACAAACTAACACATAACATATTTAGCATATGTACAGCCTTTAACAGTTACTAAACAACAGTTGTATAAGTACTTCCGTTGGGAGCAATTTGTTGGCTAAAGTAGTAAATTGCACAGCAAAACAACAAGGCTCGGGTTTGTTTTATAAACGTTACCATGGATGCCACAACACAACCATTTTGACTAACCTGCAAATATGCCGTATAAAATAGTTGTATAAACGTTTATGCAACAGTTAAAAATTTTCCCTATGAAGTGTTGTATAACTATGCTATAAGAATATTTTACACACCTCATTTTAGAGCAAATATGTTGCAGAAAGCAAATTTGCATTCCACATAACATTAAGCCAGCATTTTGGTGTTCAGGCAAAAACAATAGAGAGCTTTTATGGCTGAACGGTTCTTTTACCAAAAGCTTATACCACCACTTTGCTAGTTGCGATGGCACAGAATCTCATTTTTAAAGACAGTTGTGGAGAAAACAACGTTAGCAGGCCTGCCCTGTGCCGATTGCAGTGATAACATGATCAGAATTCCCTCCACCACTGCATAGAGCTACAAAGGAAACCAAGCAGCGACGATACGAAAAGAGAGAGAGAGAGCGCGAAACAGTGGTGCCACCCGAATGACAAACTAGCTAACTGTGGATCCGACAAGCGGAGCAAAAAATTTTCAGCAAAAACTACCCCGAGCGCAAAAAGTTACGAGGGCGAGAGGATCCAGGGCAGGAAGGGGAGAGAAGTGGGGGAATGGAGATGGGACAACGACAGAAGGGGCTTTCTCAGATGTTAGTTGGTACGCCTGCTTGCGCGTCGGGAATTAGTTTCGGGAGAGCGATGTTTGATTAAGGACGTCGAGGGAAAAATTTACGCGGGATGTAGGTCACAGCGATCGAAATTTGTCGGCATACCGCAGGGTGGTATGGTCACTGACAGTGTACAAGATGTGGTGCAAACGATGAAGAGGTTAATTCTTAATTTATTATTCAGTTCTTTTTCCTTTGTCGATTTTCGACAAAATGTCGACCTGCTGTCTAGATAGTTCCTAGTGTGCAAATAGTACATTACGCGTTTGCTTGCTATGAGCGCTATCCCAACTAGCAAAGAAGTGGTAGAAGCTTTTGGTAAAAGAACCGTTCAGCCATAAAAGCTCTCTATTGTTGTTTCCTGAACACCAAAATGTTGTCTGGAATGCAAATTTGCTTTCTGCAACATATTTGCTCTAAAATGAGGTGTTTAAAATATTCCTATAGCATAGTTGCACAACACCTTATAGGACAAATTTTTAACTGATGCATAAACGTTTATACAACTATTTTATACGGCATATTTGCAGGTTAGTCAAAATGGTTGTGTTGTGGCATCCATGGTAACGTTTATAAAACAAACCCGAGCCTTCTTGTTTTGCTGTGCTAATTTACTACTTTAGCCTACAAATTGCTCCCAACGGAAGCACTTATACAACTGTTGTTTAGTAACTGCTAAATATGTTGGTATACAACTTCACCATAACCTAACTTTCTGCTGTCATATTTTAGTTAAAATGCCATACCAATGTTTTACAACAAACAACGCATGCATATTGGTTAAAAAGGTTTTATCAACTGTTCAAACAGAAGATATAGATCTGGTACAAATTCTAGGTAAATCATTCGACTCTGTCGGTATTTCATTTCTGCCATTTGTAAAATTGTTGTATAACACCTGCAGGCAACACCAAAATATTCTAATAAATTAAAGACAACATGTACGATGCCATGATTATACACAACCACCCGCCATATTGGGCAAACATTTATTCCTCTATTTGATATTAAATAATTATGTTTCAGTTCGAAATTACAGATACAAAGTGATAAACATTAGTGTAATTGTGTCTAAATATAGGATTTGTGGAAGATTTAACGCAGATAAGTTCAGTTTTCCATCTTAAAAATCTAGACATACTTTTGATCATTATCAAAATATGAATCAAATACGAAACCCGTAGAAATTGCGTAACTAGTTTGCACGATAACGACAATAAAATTTGCTGCGCAAGTAATTCAATAGACCTACATCATAGTGTAGAAGTTTATCATATGCTTGTGTATGAAATTCACAATGGCCCATAAGTAAGTAAACAAGATGACTGTATTGTGTTAGTTATATATTCTTCACTTCGTCTATACAATACATAAGAAATAGTTTGGTTGCAATAACGTATAATCACGTAACAGAATAGTTGTATAGTTGACAAAAACTGAATCTTGCACTGACGCAAATGTTCTATAGCGGCTGCAAGAGGCTTACCCTTTTGTTGTATAACTGTTACCTGCAGCCCTTATACAACCGCTTAAATGACTGAAGTGTCCTATTAGGTGTGCCCATTCCGCTTGCACAGCTGTTCTAAGAGGGTTTTGCCAATGTTCTTACAGTATACAATGCTGTATAATCATTCTTGCAACTCGAATAGGAATGATAATTGTTAGTTGGGATGAGCGTCATCAAAAGCGTCCATCTATGGCGGAATGACTCATCGACACGACACGCTCAATGACCAAGCTGCAAGTCAGTTCCCCATCATGCTTTGTTGGTTCCAGAATGGCGAGATAGTCTGTACAGTCTGAGAAGTGCGATAGAGTAGCAGAGTAGCAACATCACATCTGGCTATTTGTGTGTATTGGTCTGCATCTGTATAAAATCAGTGATATTTGCTATGTGAAAAAATTATTACTGAATATGCCGCCCATGAAATATATCTATTAGCTGTGCCAGACGTTTTTTTGCGTTTTAACAAAATTTGAAAGACATACGGGAAAGCAGCACGGCACCCGCGTTGTGTATATTAAGCCACATCATAGAAAAATTACGATTGACGCATCACATACAAATACAAAGCATTTTCACACTGCCTCACATCTAGGCGCTGATTTCTATTTTCTACTTCACATCGTAAAATATTTTTCTATACAATTTCAATGACTGGAAATAAAAATTAATGGGAAACGTAATAACTTTTTTACGTTTCATTAATATTCCTGTATGACCGACATTTCCTCACCTGTTAATTTTAATATACTTCAACGAGGGATTTTCCTTCCTTATCTCTCTCTTTTCTGAAATTCAGCAAATCTGTGTATATAATTTCCAGGTTGAATAAGAAAAAGCAGATGCGCAACTAATTTTTAGCTTTGCATATATCTCAAATAAGTAAATTTAATAATAATAATAATCGTCTTTATTGACCAAAACATGGTACATCACATGGGGCGAGATTTAGCACCTGCTATTCCACCATCTAACCCCATACAAAAGTGAAAAAAAAACAAGTTATACAAAAAAAAATTGAAACTACAAAGATTAAGTCACAGTATAATAGGACTATTTATGCCAATTTAGCTATAAAAAGAAGAAGAGATAATAGGTTACATTATAATAGGACTATTTGTGCCAATTTAGCTATAAAAAGAAGAAGAGATAATAGGTTATGAAGAAACGAAAAAATGACTAATGAAAAATAAAAAAATGTATGAAAATGAAAGAACTTCTCAAGCTAGCGGTTGTTTTGCAATTCTTGTAAATATCTTTTAACTGAGTTTTAAAACTCCGGGAAGACTGGATTTGAGACAAGAAACCCATGGACCTATCATCAATACAGATTATTAGGACACAAACCCTCATTATGCACTTATGCACTGCGGTTTCCTTTGAGCTATAGTATACAACAGTGCCATCTCTGAAGCAGATATTACATCACATCAGAGCCAAACATTGTTAGCTGAAGAATCATGACGTTTAGGCAACAAGTACAGCTACGGAACGTGTACACATCAAGTCTACAACACCTAGTGCTAGATTGACATTTTGAGGAAATACCTACATAATGTCACAACAAAGCTACAGGGTGGCCCATCCATGAGTGGACGGAATATTACTCATAAACAAATACATTTTGGGAAAATCTATTTATGGCGTGTTATACATGACAGTTGAGAGCACATTTTTAAAATATTGGCAATTATACAGGGTGTCTCAATTTTGACCTACATATCAAACTTGTGATTTTTTAAATAGAATGCCTCAAATTATACTGCATATTTAAATAAACCAATTCAAAAGAAGAAGATTGATATAACATACTATGGGGTCTTGGTAATTAGCTACTGAGATGTACAGTATATTCAGATAAGAGATAGACCGGATGTAAACAAAAGGTTCGGGTGATTTTCACGCTAACGCCGCCGTCTCGACGTAAAACAGGAGCCCTCATTGGTCAATTCGCAATTAAATGCCTATGCCGAGCGGCAGAGCAGTCGTATCAAGGCAGAGTCACATTCAGGTTCAGACGTGTTACGTATGTCGTGTGCATCATTGCAATTTGATATTTCTTTGGACGTTTTCGTTTGTTATCTTATTAAGTTGTTGTGTTTGTCGTTGTTATTGTTATACCTTGTTATTGTTATCAACTGCTTGCGCAAAATGCCCAGTAGTACAGATACTGCCGATGAAGTTGTAAACTCCTGTAGTCCACCTAGGAAACGCTCTAAAAAAAGACACCTGAGTGCAGAAATGAAAGAGGTCATTTTGAATATATATAAGATCGAGCGCGAGGAGAACGAGGCATCAACCATCAAAGAAATTGTTGTGAAGGTTTCTCACAAAGTTGGGATGTGTCGCGCATCAGTGTTTAATGTGTTAAGACAATACAAAAAAAAATCACACCTTTTCTGAGCCAATGACCAGTAAACATCGCAAAAGTATTGTTAAATCATTGGATGAAGCTGATAAGCATGCGATTAGGAGGAAAGTGCATGAATTCTTCTTTAGGAATGAAATACCTACTATAGATAAAGTACCGCAGGAGGTAAATGGAGATACAACGTTGCCAAATTTCAAACGATCAACTTTCCATGCGTTACTGAAGCATTTAAATTTCAAATGGAAAAAACGGGGTCGTAATAGTTTACTACTGGATAGAGAAGAAATTGTGCTATGGAGGAGGGATTATTTAACAAAAATTGGGAAATATAGAAATCAAAACAGGAAGATTTATTACCTTGATGAAATGTGGGTAAACGCAGGACACACTACAAGTAAAGTATGGGTTGATGATTCTGTAACTTCATCCAGGAGGGCCTTTCTAGATGGACTGTCCACCGGATTAAAAAATCCAGCAGGTAAATACGAGTAATAGACAACAATCGGATGTTTTTCAAACCTTGGGAACAAGGTTCTAAACATTAATTCCAGGGGGCAGATAAAACATATTACAAGTAACAAAACTTTTATAACTTTCGATAAAATGCGTGGATGTTTTATTGTCATTTTCATTTGTTAGAACTTTTTTAAGCCAAGTTTTTATGTGTTTTCGATATTTCAATAATTTTTTAATATAATCTTAAAATATGTCGAATATTATAAACTTAAAAAAAGTTACTAATTTTTATATTGTGTACCGTTCCTAATGTTTCTAATCATTTTAATTCATACTTTAAGCTTTATAAAGTTATAATTTGTTAATATTAATATTTGCGCGTATTTCAGGTTCCTGATCATTCATTTTTTAAAGGTTTATAACTTTAAATTAAATTGTGAAGCGCTGAGTAATCATACGACGTTCAATATTCTTTCTTTCAATATGACTAAATAATCCCAATTATAGCAATCTGATACTCATGTCTCAATGTTTTTTCGCTGAATGTGATGAAAACATTTGAAAAAGGTTCGCTTATTGAAATAAATCTACACCAGTTAGTACTTCGATTTCCAGGTAAAGGGAAAAGGCTCATTATCTGCCCTATTGGCAGTGAGGATGGATTTGTTGTTGACGGTCTGTGGTGCTTTGAGTCTAAGAAAACTGGAGATTACCACGAGGAAATGAATGGCGAATCGTTTGAACAGTGGTTTTCAAAAATTTTACCGAGCTTAGAGGAAAATGCAGTAATTGTGTTGGATAATGCGCCTTATCATTCTCGAAGAATGGAGAAGGTCCCAACAACGGCTTCAAGGAAAGTTGATGTTCAAAATTGGCTCCGTTCGAAAAATATCAACTTTGAAGAAGCAATGCTGAAAGTACAATTATTAAGAATTGTCAAGGATAACAAGGCGGAATATCAAAAATACGCCATTGACGAAATGGCAGCAAGTCAAAATAAAACTGTGCTCCGTTTACCTCCATACCATTGCGAGCTCAATCCCATTGAGCTCATATGGGCAGAGGTTAAAAATTATATAGCTAAGCACAATACAACTTTTAAATTTTGTGACCTCAAAGGACTTTTCAAAGAAGCACTAGAATTAATAACAGCGCAAAAATGGGAAAACTGTATTAAGCACGTGAAAGACAAAGTTGAAAAGAGAATGTGGGAACTGGACAATATTTTAGAGGAACAAGTCGAGCCATTCATTATTGACGTTGATGCTTCAGGCAGTAGCGATGATGAAAGCTCATGAAGCTCATCTTTCCAATAAAAGATGTCGTTCATCAAATTCGGTAAGTTATAAGTAATTATAAAGCTACTGTATTTTTTAATTAATTATTGACATTTTTGAACCCATTTTGGCAAAACCTATTCAAGAATCTACTTTCTGACAATGTTCAACAATGCACATTTTTTTACGTTTTGAATGTTTTAATTTGGTTACATATTTACCTAGAAATCAAAAAATATACTAATTAATATTCTAAAAGCAATTTTAAGAGATATACGATTATTTTTAATTTAGGCTAATTTAAACGCCATTTTGAGATTATATTCGACTGTATTTCACCAAACATCAGGCGGTATCCGAAGCTGGAAATCGAAGCGAAAATTTTGAAACCCTTATGTATATTTACATCATTATATATTTCTTACCCCACCCCCACATGATCCTATATCCATCACCAATCGTATACACATCGAATTGTGCTAATTTACTACAAAGTTACGCAAAGCAGCATCTACTATCTAAAATATGTACTGCGTGACTCTTAATACGTCCCTGCCTAATGTTACAGCGTTCGATGATCACGTGGTCTTGTTTATGTCCGGTCTATCTCTTATCTGAATATACTATAGAAGTTTTTACCTTATTTGTTACTTTTTTGAATTTTCATTTTTGCTCATACAGGGTGGTCAAAAACACGACTTGTACTTTTTCTCAAAAATTTCAAATGCTTCACCCTGTATATTTGTGCAAGTTGGGATTCGATTTTTTATAAGCTTTTTTTTAAACTACATACAAGAGTTTTCACGGCTATTTTTTCGGTTATAGCACGTCCTTTATGGAACGGCTTAATTCCCTAAAATATCGCATCGTCCTTGGAAACAAATAAATTGTTGATTAGTTACGAACTGTTAAAATTAGCTTTGAGAGCATTATAATGAACACGGGTTTGAAAATGAATTTTTCTAAAGAAGAAATGGTGAATATGGTGTCGTTTTGGGCGAAGCCCAAAGAAATAGTTCGCTTACATCTCGCATTTATGAGCAACGGTACCCTGATATGCTACGGAAAGTGTACACATCAAGTGTACAACACCTAGTGCTAAATTGACATCTTGTAGAAAAACCTACACAATGTTACAACAAATCTATGTATATAATACCAAAAAAGAAACCCGACATATTATCACCTTTCAAGATACGTAATACCTTTGCCGCCTCTCTAAAATACATGAGCAATGAGATATTATTTAACTGAACAAAGCTACTTTTCTATTATTTGAAATAGATTGCTTACTACCATTTTCAAGTGATGATGCAATTTATCGTCATTCTTTATGATTACTGGAAAACATAAATGAGAAGGAGAAAAAAAAATGTGTGTAACATTTTTATTCTCAGAGGGTTCAACTTCACTTCACTTGTAGACTTCAAATTGTAGTGACCGCATTACTTCTTCTTTTTACTTATGTTAAAAGACATATTTGCACGTACCTAGTCAGACTTTTTCGTCCACAGGTGGCAAAAGACTTACTTATTTGTCTACGAACTGCTAAACCCCTCACATGCAAATAAAATTAGCAATATTAGTGAGATAACTGATATCGATCAATGCTGTTCGAGTTGAAATTAACAAATATTGCCAAACGTGGATCATTTGATAGATTTAGATAAAATAAATAAATGATAATGGAGTAATATGAAACAAAGAACGCATTTTAGTATAAAAACTTGGAAGCAGCGAGAATTGTCATCATCAGTTCGGCAGCCTTCATCATGAGAACAGCTACACTGGCCTTTTTGGGCTGCATTGCCCTCGCATACATTCAGGTAACTATTTTTTCGCTTTTCTGAGAAATAATGTATTTCGTAATACTCTCTACTAATTTCATAGATGGTTAAGCCTAAATTCTCGATTGTTCAATTTCATTAACTATCCTAACAAGTATTTATATATTTATGTGGTTACATGATGCAAAATGATCAGTTGAGACAGAATACCAGTATATACTTAAATGCCTTAAGATTTTAAATAAAAACGAATCTTAGTTTCTACAATACATTACATTTCTTAAATTATTCCTCAATTTAACTTCATTTCAAATTTTGACAGAATATACGAAAAAGTATGTTTTTCTTCTAGCTTGCGGAATTTGCAACAGTAGCTGGATCATCAGCATCTGCTGCAGCTAGAGCACAGGCTCTATCTTCTGCACCCAATAAAAGAGATGTGGTCAACTCTGCCACCCTAGCAGCTGCTGGCGCATCTGCAAACTCAAAAGCATCTTCTAACACCGAAAGCCTTGCTAATTCTGTCAGCTCAGCAAAAGCTGCTGCCGGGGCTCAATCCTTATCTGGAGCTCAAGGTCTATCAGCTTCTCAATCCAGTGCTGGCGCAGGAGCTGCCTCTATCTCCCGCAACACCAACAGCCTTAACGTTGCTCAATCGAATGCTGGTGCTGGAGCTACCTCCATCTCTCAAAACGTAGTTCAATCTAGCTCAGGAGCAGGAGCCTCAGCGTTGAGCAGAGGTGGTGTATCGCAATCCAGCAGTCTAGCTGGAGCTTCATCTTCTGTTATTGGGTCTTCCTACCAGGGTATTAGACGCGTATCAGGACAAGTTGGGCTTTCCGGACTACCAGGCTTGAACGGTCAACCTGGCTCCAATGGACCTTCTGGACCCGCAGGTCCCCCAGGACCACCTGGACCTCCAGGACCCCCAGGCCCCGCAGGTATTCCAGGCCTTAACGGACTTCCAGGACCTCAAGGTCTCCCCGGATTAGATGGTCTACCAGGACTCCCAGGACCAATAGGACCAATGGGCCCAGTGGGACCTCAAGGCATCGCAGGACCTGAAGGACCAAGTGGACAAGAAGGACCTGCTGGACCAGCCGGACAACCAGGGCCAAAAGGATCTCAGGGATTGAGAGGACCCAGAGGACTACAAGGTATGGAGCGCAATAATTTTGGGAACAACATCTGTTAGAAGCTTTTTATTATATATTTAATCTCCAGGTCTAACCAATTTTGTACCAATCTTGCTGTTTCGTATATCTTTATTGCAAAGAAACGTATTCGTTTTAAACTACAAAATTCCCACTTTTTCAAAATTGCAGTAATTAATGGTAGAAGCCCGAAACCTCGGTTTGGACGACATTGGCTTTTGAAGCAAGTCAAATTACTACTTGCATCTCTATCCCATTCCAGGTATCCAAGGACCAATCAGCTACGGACCCATGATTCAACCACAGCCCATCCAGTACCAGGTACCATCTCAAACCCTTGCTGCATCTGGGTCATCAGCCACTAGTTCATCTCAAGTAGCTGGCAGTGTATCATCTGCAGGTGCCTTATCTGGAGCAATTGCTGGATCTAATGAAGCTGGAGCAGTGTCAGGAGCAGGAGCTATAGCTGGCTCAAGAGTTTCTGGTGTATCAAGAGAATCGTCATCTTCTGGTGCGCTGGCTGGAGCATTATCTGGGTCTAGAGTAGCCGGAGGAGTGTCAGGAGCAGGTGCTGCTGCAGGTGCTGTAGCTGGTTCAGGAGCTTCTGGTGTATCAAGAGGATCTTCATCTGCTGGTGCGCTGGCTGGAGCATTATCTGGGTCTAGAGTAGCCGGAGGAGTGTCAGGAGCAGGTGCTGCTGCAGGTGCTGTAGCTGGTTCAGGAGCTTCTGGTGTATCAAGAGGATCTTCATCTGCTGGTGCGCTGGCTGGAGCAGGATCTGGGTCTAGAGTAGCCGGAAGAGTGTCAGGAGCAGGTGCTGCAGCTGGTGCAGTAGCTGGTTCAAAGTCGAGTGGAAGGAGTGCCGCTGTAGCTGGGGCTAAAGCTGGAGCTGGTTCCAACAGTGTTGCATAAGCAACCTAGGCAGGATGAGACATGTCGTAGTTTGAATTGTAATCGTGGATTTGGAATTTGAAAATAAATATTATAGCAATTATATTTATATTCTTTTATTCTTCGTCAATTTTATACAAAGTCTAAACTAATGGAACATTCTCCATGTGTCTAACAGAAAATGTGAAGAACTCGGAAACCAACAAAGTTGAACGAAGCATCATCTTACATAAAGTATATGTTGGTTGTTGCTCAGGTCCAAAATATACACGAAAATGAATACGAGAATATAACTGTCGCAGAGGTATTCAAAAATTGAAAGTAGATGTTTTGATATTGCTCTAATTGCAAAACATCTTGTGCTTATAGCTCGGATTGAAAAATACGTCATTCTCATTATTTGAGGACAAACCTCACAGAACTCATGAAAACAAATCTAATGCGGATAGATTTTATCATTCGCATGCTTTTATTTAAGAACGCATACAAATATGTTTTATTTTGAACTCCAAGATAAAGTCTTAAACTACAGTGGCCTCCAGTCGCCAATCAGATGTCAAGAAACCACAAAGGATTCTGGTACTTCTCGTTAGGTGGTGTCGTGAAGCCAAATCAGAAGTAGAAAATGAGTCTCCTGTCACAAAAATAAAATAGGAGTCGGAACTGACACGCCCAACTGATTTATAAAGCGGATTGAATTTAAAAAAGGGGGTCTTTTTGAAAGTTTCGTTGCAAGAAACCTGAAAACATCATAGCACTGTGTAGAGCAAACTTTTGATTTTCATCTCCTATCGTTGTAGATGAATAGAACTTGGTAGAAATGGATTATTTCGGAATCCGGGTTCAAATATGACCACCAGAAAATCGTGTAGTCATGTAGCCGAATTTGAGGAAATATTTGGGCGCTCAGGTCCGCCCGTGGATTCGAGCATCAAACTGACTCGACGAATTGGAATTCTATATACCCAAAGAATCAATTAACTCTCCGGTCGAAGAGGCCTTTAAGGGCCGTATCTTCAGTCGTTCCTACAATTGTAGGATGCCTTTATTGCCTCCTTGATTTTCATAGTTTTCTACTGTTCCCTGTCAGCGCTCTATTTTGAGGTTATGTCACAAAATATCTATTTACATCAAATTTTTCATGATTTTTATTTACATCTGTTTTATCAGCCTGAAACTTCCTACAATTAAAAAAAACATAACCTCACAATAGGAGAGCGCTGACGCTGACACATAACAGGTGAAATCTAGAAATACCCCAGACCCCAGCCTTTCTGAAGGAGAGAAAATACTATGACAATCAAGTACCATAAAGTCGTTCTACAATTGTAGGAACGATTGACGATTCGGCCATGAGTCACACTTATACACGTTCCTTGAGGATTGGGTGCTGTTAGAAGAATACCTCCACGTTCGACAGTCAGAGACCGTCTACCACCTAAGGACAATCACAACATCCATAGCCAAGAGAAAAATTTCTCCTGGGACGGGACTCGAACCCGCACAGCGCACGTCGACTGATCAGGAGACGGAAGAGTCTACTACTGCGGCCACCGCTGCTGCCTCAAGATCGTAAGATCGTGTATTCCTGCAGTGAAAAGGGCTTGGTATCAGATTATGCAAGAAATAAGCAGTGTGGTTGAAAACAATATTTTTTTTTATTAAGGTACGTTAAAACTATCGATCATGGGGGGGGATTACATCGTGAATAAAAGAAATCCGAAGACAGATGGGCTAACTACAATTTATACTAAAGTCTCTAAAGAGCACCCTCCCTTATGAAGGCGTAAGAGTTAATTTCGTAGTTGAAGTTACAAAACTTCTTATTTTAACAACCTACACTACTCAACAAAATTAAGGGAGCAAGAAAAAAGTAAGATTTTTTCTGTGATCTCTGAGAGGCTATATTTTGGTAAAAATGCCCGTATCTGGACTTAGAAAAAGCATTTTTGAGCTTCAGGATTCTAATTTTCAAAATTTCAAAAGCATCTGCTTTCAATTTTTGAATACCTCTGTGACAGTTATATTCTCGTATTCATTTTCGTGTGTATTTTGGACCTGAGTAACAACCAAAATATACATTATATAAGATGATGAATTTTATTTTGAAATCCGTATTTTAAATCATTTTGCAGCATCACAAAGAAGGATCGTTTGTGCTTTGGTGAACTACCATTAGATTTTGAAAAATAAAGTTTTCAGTTCGTACAATAAGCAAATCTATAATGTCTTACTGACTATCTACGTCACTGAAGGTACGAATGCTTTGTTCAACTTTGTTGGTTTCCGAGTTCTTCACATTTTCTGTTAGATACATGGAGAATGATCCATTAGTTTAGACTTTGTATAAAATTGACGAAGAATAAAAGAATATAAATATAATTGCTATAATATTTATTTTCAAATTCCAAATCCACGATTACAATTCAAACTACGACATGTCTCATCCTGCTTAGGTTGCTTATGCAACACTGTTGGAAGCAGCTCCAGCTTTAGCCCCAGCTACAGCGGCACTCTTTCCACTCGACTTTGAACCAGCTACTGCACCAGCCGCAGCACTTGCTCCCGACACTCCTCCGGCTACTCTAGACCCAGATTCTGCTCCAGCCAGCGCACCAGCAGATGAAGATCCTCTTGATACACCAGAAGCTCCTGAACCAGCTACCGCACCTGCAGCAGCACTTGCTCCTGACACTCCTCCGGCTACTCTAGATCCAGATCCTGCTCCAGCCAGCGCACCAGAAGATGACGATTCTCTTGATACACCAGAAACTCTTGAGCCAGCAATAGCTCCTGCTCCTGACACCGCTCCAGCTCCATTAGATCCAGCAATTGCTCCAGATAAGGCACCTGCAGATGCTTCACCGCCAGCTACTTGAGATGAACTAGTTGCTGATGACCCAGATGCAGCAAGGGTTTGAGATGGTACCTGGTACTGGATGGGCTGTGGTTGAATCATGGGTCCGTAGTTGATTGGTCCTTGGATACCTGGAATAGGATAGAGATGAAACTAGTAATTTGACTTGCTTCAAAAGCCAAAGTCGTCCAAACCGAGGTTTGGGGCTTCTACCATTAATAACTGCAATTTTAAAAATGTGGGAATTTTGTAGTATAAAACGAGTACGTTTCTTTGCAATAAAGATATACGAAACAGCAAGATTGGTACAAAATTGGTTAGACCTGTAGACTAAATATATAATAAAATGCTTCCAACAGATGTTGTTCCCAAAAGTATTTCACTCCATACCTTGTAGTCCTCTGGGTCCTCTCAATCCCTGAGATCCTTTTGGCCCTGGTTGTCCGGCTGGTCCAGCAGGTCCTTCTTGTCCACTTGGTCCTTCAGGTCCTGCGACGCCTTGAGGTCCCACTGGGCCCATTGGTCCTATTGGTCCTGGGAGTCCTGGTAGACCATCTAATCCGGGGAGACCTTGAGGTCCTGGAAGTCCGTTAAGGCCTGGAGTACCTGCGGGGCCTGGGGGTCCTGGAGGTCCAGGTGGTCCTGGGGGACCTGCGGGTCCAGAAGGTCCATTGGAGCCAGGTTGACCGTTCAAGCCTGGTAGTCCGGAAAGTCCAACTTGTCCTGATGCGCGTCTAATACCCTGGTAGGAAGATCCAATAACAGAAGATGAAGCTCCAGCTAGACTGCTGGATTGCGATACACCACCTCTGCTCAACGCTGAGGCTCCTGCTCCTGAGCTAGATTGAACTACGTTTTGAGAGATGGAGGAAGCTCCAGCACCAGCATTAGATTGAGCAACGTTAAGGCTGTTGGTGTTGCGGGAGATCGAGGCAGCTCCTGCGCCAGCACTGGATTGAGAAGCTGATAGACCATGAGCTCCAGTTAAGGACTGAGCTCCAGCAGCAGATTTTGCTGAGCTGGCAGAATGAGCAAGGCTGTCGGTGTTAGAAGATGCTTTTGAGTTTGCAGATGCGCCAGCAGCTGCTAGGGTGGCAGAGTTGGCCAGACCTCTTTTATTGTATGTAGAAGATAGAGCCTGTGCCCTAGCTGCTGCAGATGCTGATGATCCAGATACTGTTCCAGATTCCGCAAGCTAGAAAAAAATTATACTTTTTCGTATATTTTGTCAAATTTTGAAATGGAGTTAAATTGAGAAAGAATTGCTTCAATTTAAGAAACGTAATGTATTGTAGAAATTAAGAATCGTGACTGTTTGAAATCTTAAGGCATTTAAGTATATACTGGTATTTATTCTATCTCAATTGAGGATTCTGTATCATGTTACCAGATAAATATGAAAACACTTGTTAGGATAGTTTCTGAAATTGAACAATCAAGAATTAAGGTCTAACCAACTATGAAATTAGTAGAGAGTATTACGAAAGACATTATTTGTCAGAAAAGCGAAAAAATGTGTTAGTTACCTGAAGGTATGCGAGGGCAGTGCAGCCCAAAAATGCCAGTGTTGCTATTCTCATGATGAAGGCAGCTGAACTGATGATGACAATTCTCGCTGATTCCAAGTTTTTATACTAAAATGCGTCCTTTGTTTCATATTACTCCGTTATCATTTATTTATTTTATCGAAATCTATCAAATGATCTACGTTCGGCAATATTTGTAATTTCAACTCGATATCAGTTATCTCACTAATATTGCTAATTTTATTTGCATGCGAGGGGTTTATCAATTCGTAGACAAATAAGTAAATCGTCACCTGTGGACGAAAAATACGGACTAGGTACGTGCAAATATGTATTTAACATAAGTAAAAAGAAGAAGTAATGCGGTCAATACAATTTGAAGTCTACAAGTGCCTGACAAATGCCCTAGTTTACCATATTTTTTAATATGACCTCCTAGATGGGAGCTATTATCATTCTATGTCTTTTACGAGTTGGTATAGGATTAAAGGCAATACATAGAATAATCATTTTTGAAAACAAACTTTTATGTAGCCATTAATAAAAAAAATTAATGATTTGGAAATATGCCCTTTGCACCCTTCCTCTAAAATAGAATATTGTTATACCCTTTTCCCTTTTAGTTCCCACGCCTACTGGCGGAGAGATAATAATAGCAAAAACTTTGGAAAATGAAATATTACGTCTTTTGTAGCTAACTACCAAAACCTATGT